CAAGTATGGCCATTAAAAAGATGCAGGCAGAAGGCATATATTGGCTCAGTTGAAGTGGAGAACCTTGGTAGCCAAACATATATTGCTAAGGCTATTCATATAGTTAGCTGGGCACATATAACATGCTGCTAATGCTTCATTACAAACTTACGCCCTATAATTCCAGATGAGGCAAAAGTGTGTCCAGGGGTGAGAAAGAAAGAATAGAAACATTTGTCCTGGAGTAGATTTTTAGTCAGCTGTGTGTGTGTTCGTGTGTGCGTGCATGTGTTTCTTTTAAAGTTTTCAGCCTACAAAATACAGGGTTTGTGGTGGCAAGAAGATAGCTAGATTTAAATTATGCCAGTGACCAATGCTGCAAGTGGAACAGCTACCTGCATTTAATGAGTAGGCAAATTCCAGGCTTTGAGGGAAGTTAACATAGGTTTGATTCTGGGTGGAAGGTGGGTGTGTAGTTATCCGGAGGCCAGGCTGGAGCTCTCTGCTCACTATGGGTTTATATTTGTTGTCTCCTTTCATCTCAACAGCTCCTGGGAAATGTGCTGGTGACTGTTTTGGCAATCCTTTATGGCAAAGAATTCACCCCTGAGGTGCAGGCTTCCTGGCAGAAGATGGTGGCTGGAGTGGCCAGCGCCCTGGCCTCCAGATACCACTGAGGCCCCCTGCCCATGATGCGGAGCTTCCAAGGAGAGGCTTTATTCTGCAAGCAATAAAAATAATAAAACTATTCTGCTTAGAGATCACACATGATTGTCTTTATTTATTTTTCCTTGTCCTTTAAAATATATGAGCCACAAAGGGTTTTCATTGATGGATGTGTGTACATGTGTTTCTGCATGCCTATGTGTGTTTGTGGTGTGTGCATGCTTCTTATTTATTTTTACATGAGATGTGGGTTTTGATGAGCCAATAAGATAATTAAGGGATACAGAACCTTGTACATGGGAGTTCTCCAAGTGGGAGGAAAAGGTGTAGGAGAAATCTGGTGGGAAGAAAGATCTCTATAGAACAGTACTCTTCAGAAACAGATGGTTTGGGAGAGATGGGGAAATGTTCAGTGAAGGCCTGGGGGCTGGATTGCAGCAGAGTAGTAAGGATGGTTCTTAATGAAGGGAAAGGGTTCCAAGCTTTAGGAGGTCACTGTTTAGGCAGGGATTGCAGTTTTATTTTATAGGGGCAATATTGTTTCTAATGGCATCTGGCTTTACACAGTCCCTGTGCATGCCTAAGAAAGTGAAATTAATTTCATACCCTCAAGTGTGCAGACTGCTCACAGCATTTTAAGGAAGAGACCTCATTGTAAGCTTCAGAGGGTTGGGACTTAGGAGAAAGAAATGTATCTGCAAAAGCTCACAAGTCAGCATCAGCGTGTCATGTCTGAGCAACAGACCAGCACTGTGAGATCAAAATGTAGTGGGATGAATTTGTACATTAATTGGAAGGCGTTCTCAAGGGAATTTTTGTATAGTTGAATGTTAATGTATGTTTATAAGTAAGAGTTCATTGTGGTGCTGTTATGGACTTAATGTTTGTGGCCCCTCAATATTCGCATGTGATGCACCAATTCCAAATTGACCTTATTTGTAGAGGAGGCTTTTTAAAAGTAATTAGGTTTAGATGAGCTCATGAGAGCAGATCCCCATCATGGAATTATTTTCCTCATCAGAAGCAGAGACACTTTTCTCTCTGCCATTTCTCTTTCCTCCCTATGAGGGACACAGTGAGAAGTCAGTTGGCTGAGATCCAGGAAGAGAACCCTGACCACAAATCAGCCTTCAGAAATGTGAGAAAAAGCTCTGTTGTTGAAGCCATCCAGTGTATGGTATTTTGTTACAGCACTTTGCACTGAGTAAGGCAGATGAAGAAGGAGAAAAAAATAAGCTTGGGTGTTGAGTGGATTAGAGACTATGTGTACCTCAGGTTTACAAATCTCCACTGGTTCCCTGTGTTTCCATGTAAAATACTTACTCTACTACTCTCATCTATAAGACCCAAATAGTGAGACTGCATCCTCTCTTTGATTTCTCCTATTTGCTCTTCAACATACTTTAAACTTGTAATGTCTTTACATACAGTGAAATGTCAAATTCTTTATTCTTTTTCTTCTCTCTCTCTTTCTTTTTTCCCCCCGCCTCTGAGTTTTGCACATGCCCTTCCTTCTTTCAGGAACTTCTTTCTCCAAACGTCTTCTGCCTGCCTCCATCATATCCTAAATTTCTCACTTGAAATGCAGTCACTCACTACCATTGCACAATATGCACTTTCTTTTCATTTTTTTCTTAAGTCAAAGCAAGTTTCTTAATAAAGTAAAGAAATAAAAGAATGGCTACGGCATAGGCAGAGCACCCCCAAGGCTGCTGGTTGTTCATTTTTATGGTTATTTCTTCATGGGCTCTTAAACAAGGGTTGGATTATTTGTGCCTTCTCTTTTTGGGCCATATAGGATAACTTCCTAATGTTGCCATGACAATTTTTTTCGCTTTAATTCAGTTTTATTTCACCTTAAATGCCGGGGTACGTGTGCTGGATATGCAGGCTTGTTTTGCAGGTAAAAGCGTGCCGTGGTTTTAATGCGGTGGTTTTTTTCTCATAAATTTGTTTAAGTTTCTTGTTGACTCTGGATATTAGATCTTTGTCAGAAGAACAGATTGCAATGTTTTCCCGTTCTATAAGTTGTCTGTTCACTCTGATGGTTGTTTCTTTCGCTATGCAGAAGCTCTTTAGTTTAATTAGATTCCATTTGTCAATTTTTGCTTTTGCTGCAATTGCTTCTCGTGTTTTCCTCATGACATCTTTGCTGTGCTTATATCATGAATGGTATTGCCTTGATATTTTTTTCTAGAGTTTTCATAGTTTGGGGTTTTGCATTTAAGTCTCTAATCCATCTAGAGTTAGTTTTTGGATAAGGTATAAGGAAGGGATCCAGTTTCATTTTTTAGCCAGTTCTCCCACACCATTTATTAAATTGAAAATCCTTTCCCCATTCCTTCTTTTTGTCAGGTTTCTCAAAGATCAGATGGTTATGGATACAAGACACAGTTTTTTCAAGAGCTATAATACCATCTGAAATCTCTTGTTCATTCATTTCTTTTAGTATGTACTCTGGTCCTCTCTGCTCACTACAATAAGGGCACCATTAGATCAAAAAATCTGCCTGTCTAGTTCATGTAAGAGTCTCAGAATCAAATAAATAGATGTCATATGAAACTTAATGGAAGACAGATGAAACCTAATGACTATTTGTTGAATTAATGCATGAAGATTCACAGGGAGAAGTTGACAACTGCAATGATGACCTAGTATTGATGTTATAAGAGTTTATAGATCTCAGTAAAAGGAACAATTATGAAAACAATTGGAAAGGGGGAACAGGCACAAACAAGAAAGAATCAGTACTTCCAGGTCACTTTCCTGGAGTGGATGAGAGAAAAGTGGAAGTTAGCAGTAGCTGTTGAATCCCTGTTTTGCTGATGGAAAAATGGAGCAGCTATTCTCTGATATGCAGGGTTTTAGAAGTATGTACCTAAGGAAATAAGGTATGGCAGTGAACCATTCTGTTGGGAATTAGTTTTAGGGCCATTAAAGGACATGACCTGAGGTGTTCTTTCAGGCCAGTCCCCACAACTCAATATTAATGTGTTTCCTGCGTATAGTCAAAGTTGCTGTTTCTTTTTCTTCATATCATTGATCTCTGCTCTTAAAGATAATCTTCCTGGTTTTGTGTCAAATTCTGTTTGTCACTACAAACTTCCCCCATGTTCCTAAGTAAAACAGATAACTGTTTCTCAACTATATCAAGTAGACTAAAACATTGTGTCTCTAATATCAGAAATTCAACTTGAATATATTGCGTTGAACTCTTTGAAATTTAGAGTCTCCTTGAAGTACACATGGGGATGATTTCCTAAACTTTATTTCTTTTGAGGGTTTATGTCAGGGGGAACACACAAACTAGCATCCTGAACCTGTAAGTAGGAGGACAATAAGTTTTAAGGTAAGAATATAAAAGAAACTGTTATTCTCTCTCCCGGTGGAAGTGTGCCCTGTCTATTCTTGAAATGGCTTGTTTGAGATGCATGAGACGTGCAGCATGTGAGACACAGGTGGCAGCCTGTGGAATATTGTCAGTGAAGAATGTCTCTGTCTGATTAGATATGAAGACAAGTCAAACACAGCATTAGACTGTAGATCAAGCACATGCCAGACGCAAGTGACCTGATGTCCGTGGATGGCCATGGATTCTTACAGAGCAGCACCCTTCTCCCCCAACACTAAAACACCTATATGCGCTGGCAAAGTTTTGTAGATACGTAGAATTGGACATGAATTATTGTTCAGTGATTCAGAGGAAATCTCCTTTGCTCAGATAAGTACACTGACTACTAAATGGATTAAAAACACCAAAATAAAACCCAGTTTTCCCTTACTTCCCTAGTTTGTTTCTTATTCTGCTTTCTTCCAAATGGATGCTGGATAGAGGTGTTTATTTCTGTTCTAAAAAAGAATGAACTTGTGTACTCAATGTAGTCTTAAAGAGAATTGAAAACCAAGAAAGGGTGTGGCTTCTTCCACATAAAGCCTGGATGAGTAACATGCTGTCATATTGTCACAACTCCTGACCCAGGAATTGATGGCTAACATATTCATTATTCTCATCCTTTTCAGTTCAAACTTATTCCTATTTGTCAGCAATCAGGTTATTAGGGGTTAGTGGTGATGAAGACCTTGAGATATAAACTGCACGTGGTGGAGGTAGTGGAGAAAAATGGATGGGAAAGAAGAGAAGTTTCAAATTAAGCCTGAACAGCAAAGTCCCCTTGAGGGGCTACCCAGATGCTATCAGAAACTCTAGTGTCCATCTTGCAAAACTTCTCTTGCCTAAACCCCATCCTTGGAGTCACAACACACCCTTGACCAATAGATTCATTTCACTGGGAGAGGCAAAGGGCTGGGGACCAAAGAGGAGAAGTAAAAAGCCACACATGAAGCAGCAGTGCAGACATGCTTCTGGCTCATCTGTGATCACCAGGAAACTCCCAGACCTGACACTGGTGCATTTCACTGCTGACGAAAGGGCTGCTGCCACTAGCCTATGGAGCAAGGTTGATGTGAGAAGGCTGGAGGTGAGATTCTGGGCAGGTAGCTACTAGAAGCCAGAGCAAGGTGCAGAAAGGCAGAAAGTGTTCCTGAAAGAGGGATTAGCTAGTTGTCTTACATATTCTGACTTTGTATCTGCTCTTTGATTATGACTATCCCAGTCTCCTGGTCGTCTACCCATGGATCCAGAGGTACTTTGAGAGTTTTGGCAATCTGGGCTCTGACTGTAACTCCAAAGTCAAGGCACATGCAAGAAGGTGCTGATCTCCTTCAGAAAAGCTGTTAGGCTCATGGATGACCTCATAAGGCACCTTTGCTATGCTGAATGACTTGCACTGTGACAAGCTATACATGGACCCTGAGAACTTCCTTGTGAATTCTAGGCACACTGATGCTTTCTTCTTTCGTCTTAAATATTTGCATGATGGCTACTTTTGAAAGCAGAGGTGCCTTTCTCTTGTGCTATGAGTCAGCTATGGGATATGATATTTCAGTGATGGGATTGATTTTGAGAGTTATGTTGGTTTAAATAACATACCTAAAATTTGGTAGAGCAAGGACTATGAATAGTGGAAGGCCACTTACCATTTGATAGCTCTGAAAAACACATCTTATATAAAAATTCTGGCCAGAATTGAAATGAGTGTTTGTGGATGAGGGAACAAAAGTTGAGGTAGAGAAAATAGTATCTTTATCTTGCCTTTGGTCATTGAAATTTTCCATGAAAATTAACAGACACTTTTCTGCATAGTCCTGGAGGTTAGAAAAAGATGAACTAGAACAGAGTAATGGGAAGCTTTTAAAAAGAAGATCCTTTCCCTCTGAATGATGATGATATGCTTTTGTACACATGGTACAGGATTTTTTGTCATGAGTGTTTGCGAAAATTGTATGTGTGTGATAACTGGGGACTTATCCTATCCCTTACTGTTCCTTGAAGTACTATTATCCTACTTTTTAATGGAGTCTTTAAAAAAGGTGAAACAACTAATCACAATGTGCTGTGGTAATGAGTTGGCATAGCAAGTAAGAGAAGGATAGGACACAATGGAAGGTGCAGGGCGGGCAGTCATATTGAAGCTGATGTCTAGCCCATAATGGTGTACTTACCTTTGTGAAAATAAGACTCTGAGAGTTGCTCAAACTCTGGTCAAAAAGGAAATAAGTGTTGTATTTATTTATCGCAAGTCCAGCTTGAGGCCTATTATTTACTATGTACCATTTCCTTTTTATCTTCACTCCCTCCCCAGCTCTTAGGCAACGTGATATTGATGGTTTTGGCAACCCACTTCAGCAAGGAGTTTACCCTACAGATACAGGCTTCCGGGAAAAGACCGACAAACGCTGTGGCCTGCAATTACCACTGAGCTCCCCGTCCACTGTGTTTGGAGCTACTGGTCCACTATGTTTGTACCCATGTCCTAAAAGCTTATCTCCTTTAGATGGAGGATGTTGGGGAGAAGAGCAATATTCTGCCTGCAGACTCAGCTCCTGCATGATAAAAATAAAATAAATAAATGTGCTCTCTAAGAAATATCATTATATATTTTTTCTGTCTTTATGTTTTATGTTGATTCAGCCAAAAGGATGCACCATTTCTGATGGAAATGGGAACGTTGGAGAATGAGAGTTTAAGAATAGAGAAGAGACTTTCTTGCAATCCTGAAAGATAAGAGAGAATTTGTGGGTGGATTTAGCGGGGTAGCTACTCCTGCGAAGGGGAGGTCATCTTTAGAATAAGACCATGTCTTTAAAAAAAGGGAGGGGAATGGAGGTACTCTTGAAAGATGTAAGAGGATTGTTGATAGTGTGTAAAGATCTGTTAGGACTCAAATTAAAAGTTCTGGGCCAGACGCGGTGGCTCAAGCCTGTAATCTCAGCACTTTGAGAGGCTGAGGCAGGTGGATCACGAGGTCAAGAGATCAAGACCATCCTGGCCAACAAGGTGAAACCCCGTCTCTACTAAAAAATACAAAAAACAATTAGCTGGGTGTGGTGTCGGGCGCCTGTAGTTCCAGCTACCTGGGAGGCTGAGACAGGAGAATTGCTTGAACTTGGGAGGCGGAGGTTGCAGTGAGCCGAGATCGTGCCACTGCACTCCAGCTTGGCGCCTGGCAACGGAGCAAGACTCTGTCTCAAAAAAAAAAAAAAAAAAAAATTCTGTATAGGTTATTATTTGTATGAACTCAGGATATAGCTCATTTGGTGACTGTAGTTCACTTTTACTTATTTTAAACAACAAATTTTGGGCTTCCTAGAGATCAATCAAAGGCCAAACTTTGAATTTTTTCTTAGTGTCTTCAATGGTATTAATAGAGAATTATCTCTAAGCCATGTGAACTAGCTGTCTTGGTTTTCATCAGCACTTCATCTGCTACTTCTGTGACCTGAAACAGATTTATAATTCCATTAATCTCTAAATATATTGGATATATCATGTTTATTTTCCTTAAAGGATTTTTGAAAGAACTAATTTAATTGATACCTATAAAGTCATTATTACACTACCCAGTAAATAATCTCTTTGCTTAGCTCTCTGTTTTTATAAATACACATAAATTTTATTGTTTTTAGTGGTAGTGATTTTGTTCTTTCTATTTATCTGTATACACATGTGCATTCATAAATATATAAAATTTTTATAATTAAAAAAATTTTTTAGCGATCAATATTGAAAACAACTGATTTTTAGTGAAGACAAAAGTCTGTTTATGTGAGTAAAAGCAGATTAAAAGGCTGAGATTTAAGAATCAACATGTTAGGTTAAATTGATAGAAGAGAATACAGATGTTTAAAGGAGGCAGGGTGATGTAAAATTAGGGAAATTGGATGCAGAGACCAGATGAAGCAAGAAAAATAGCTACTGTTTGGAGCAAAAGGTCACTAAAGTTTCTGGCATATGAAAGTGACATAATAAATAGAGAAATTTAGGAAAATTGATTCACATGGATATATATAGAACTAATTAGACAAAGTCTAACTTGGATATAGTCAGAGGAGCTTGCTGTGATCATATTGAGGTGATGGATAAAGAACTAAAGTTGATAAAAACAATTAAATTAAGTAAAAAATTGAGAAAGAGACCGTTGTGGCAGGGATTCCACAGAACTGGAAAGCGTTGTGAAACAGAGTCAGAGATGGCAGCTAAAATCCCTGTCTGTGAATGAAAAGAAGGAAATCTATCAATAGAACAGAAAATGCTATATGCCCCTTGTTTGGATCTGGCAATGAATATAGCCATTCTGTGGCAATCATATCAAACTCCCGTACCCAAATCCTTAGGAAGTATGTAGCAACCTCAAACTGACTCAAGAAATAGGTTTTAGAGGACATCATATCGTTTCTTCTCCAGTTTCACTAATCCTAAAACCTCTTTCTCAAAGTATTTCCTATATGTGTCCACCCCAAAGAGCTCACCTCACCTTACCTCTTGAGTGAGAGCACATAGATAGGCAGTACTACCATCTAACAGCTTCTGAAATTCCTTTGTCATGTTTTTGAGTCCCCACTAGTAACTCACAAAACAGAATAAGTAAGAGTTGCACATGCACAGTAATCACTCGTTACTGTCTTGCAGCATACATAAATTAAGCATATTCTTGGAATACTGTGTTCAAGCAACCACACTTTAAACTCTTATACTTGTGCTATCCCCTGCCCTTCTAAATCTCACTCTGTATTTTAAAATAAGAGAAGAGGGTTCAATTTTCTGTGTTACTTGATGTTCATTTCTTGCTGAGCAGTTTTCACATTCACCCTTACTGGAAAACACATAAGTACACACCTTGACACACAGGAAAAATATACCAAAGTGACATGAAGCATGAATGCTTGTGCGTGTAGTCATATAAAATGTTGTAGCAATGTAAACATTCTCTGATACACACATACAGATGTGTGTATATATCTATACAAGTTCCTATGCTGCATGCACAAACATCCCATGCACACACACTCCATGCTCACATAAGAACACACACTGTTACACACGTATACTTGAATGCACTGACAAAATTACCTCAGTCAATATAGAGAATTTGGATTTCTGCATTTGGCCCCGTTAGCTTGCGCATGTTCATTTGCTCTGGGTGATGTCTTTCCCTCATTTTGCCCTATCGTGTATTCATACTTTAAGTCTTAAATGTCATCTCAACTAAAAAGCTGTTTTTAAAAAAATTTTAACTGGGTTGAAACCCTGTATATAAATTCTGCTACAATTGTGGCCTCTTTCTTATCATAATATTTAGCACTTTTCCTACTAAAGTACTTAATCTGCTCATTGTGTATTCCTACCACTAAATTTTAATCTCTTTCATGGTAGAGACATTTTCTTGGAAACTCTTATTTCCCTAGTATTTGAAGATAAAAATGATTAAATTATCCAAAAGTTAAATCTCACTTTTCTATGTTATGAGTATTATACTATCCCTAGAGAAATTTGTTTGAGACCTAAACTGAGGAACCATTGGTTCATAAATGATTATGTGATATCTTAGCATTTGTAGGTCATGAGCTTTCTTTCTCTGCCTCTCTAAGGTTATTCCCTCAGTCTTTCTTCCTATAGTTTGATTAGTCAACAAGCATGTATCATGCACTTTTTCCACATCAGAAATTTGTATACTAATAAGACACAGTATCAGAAATAAATGTATTAGTTATATCAGTTAGAGTCTATCAAGGAAAGCACAAACCATTATCAGTTACTTCAACCTATAATTAAATACAGCTATTGTGGGGTGTGGTGGCTCACACCTGTAATCCCAGCCCTTTGGGAGGCCGAGGTGGATGGATCACGATGTCAGAAGATCAAGACCATGCTGGCTAATACAGTGAAACTTCGTCTCTACTAAAAATACAAAGAATTAGCTGGGTGTGGTGATGTGTGCCTATAGTCCCAGCTACTCAGGAGGCTAAGGCAGGAGAATTGCTTGAACCTGAAAGGCAGAGGTTGCAGTGAGCCTCCAGCCTGGGTATCAGAGGAAGACTCTGTCTCAAAAAAAAAAGAAAAAAGAAAAGCCTAAAACAGCTCTTAATAGTTGGTTATGCTTGTATTTGAAGAGCTGAAATTTCAAATAAAGGACAGCATGGAAATCTGGATGTTAGCAACATCAGAAAGCTTCTTCTACCATTAGGCCTAGAAGGACAAATGGAGAAAATGTTTATACCATCAGAGTTCAGAACCAGAGGTCTACTGGATTCAGTGAGATACTGGGGGCTCCTTGGAGAGAGCCAGGACTGTCTCATGGGGGCATCAAAATATCAACCATAAAAAAGATTGCCTGCTGTAGGAGATCCCTTCAGAGAGAGGGAGAGACAGAGAAGCCAGAAATAATCTGGCTTATGCTTTCCCTCACCCAGTGTTTACCATTGCAGAATGTACACGGGACCCAAAGGGTGAGGAAACCTGGGAAATGTCAATTCCTCAAATGCAGAGAACACTGGGGGAAAGATGAGGAATAAATCTGAAAGCAGAATGGTAATTTAGAGAAGGAAACTAAGATGTGTCCAGTAAATTAATAAATTTAGTGTGTAATGATTATTGCAATGGTTAATGTATTAATAAGATAATATGAAAACAGAATTCAAAGAGCAGTGAACTGATATTAGAATCATGGAGAGGACTGGCATTTAAGACACATAACAATAAAAATAATTCCACTTACACTTATAATGTGTCTCTTATGCATTGTTCTGTGCATATAATAAATCATCTCAATATTAATTATCTGAAAATTATAAATTAAGTACAAAGCTCAAATAATTCATTTTTTCAGGTTAGCAAGAATGTAATTTTTTTTTTTTTGAGATGGAGTTTCACTCTTGTTGCCCAGGCTGGAGTGCAATGGCAAGACCAAGGCTCACTGCAACCTCTGCCTTCCAGGTTCAAACAATTCTCCTGCCTCAGCCTCCCAAGTAGCTGGGATTACAGGCATGTGCCACCACACCTGGCTAACTTTGTATTTTTAGTAGAGATGTGATTTCACCAAGCTGATCTCCAACTCCTGACATCAGATGATCTCAGCCTCTGAAAGTGCTGGGGTTACAGGCATGAGCCACTGTGCCCGGCCAAGAATGTGAATTTTGTAGAAGGTTATATCCCTTATTTCTCTGACCCTAGAGTCCTTAGTATTTCTCCTATACCATGTGGCTCATCCTCTTTACGTACATCTCCCATCTTTCACCCTGTCTTTTCCTTTTCATTTCAGTTTTTCACTGTCTGTCAAAATCTAGAAACTTATCTCCTACCTACTCTGAAACCAACAGCAAGTTGACTTCCATTCTAATCAACATTGGCATTACACTAATCAAAATTGATACTGAGTTCTAAAATCATTAGGCATTTTTGAGACTCTGTCTTACTCCATACTTCCTTGAGATTTCACATTAAATATTGGTGTTCACTAAAGGTCCTTCATTTAACTTTGTACTCTTGGATTCACAATTATATCTAAACTCTTAAATGTAGCCTGTACTCCAGCTCTGACCTCCAACCTCAGTACCAAACCCATACATCAAACTGTGTACTAGGCTTAT